TTTTTATTTGTCACATTTTTCTCATAAACTACGGGAAATTACTCATAATTAGAAAAAAATTGTATGATCTTTTTTAAGAAATGTCATTTAAATGTAGTCGGTAACAAGCTGCTAAGAACCCAGGTGTTTCATCTTGACAGTATATTGTTTGCAGTAGGGGCAATCCCAGTTGCAAATCCTCTTCCAGGCACTGTCTGGGACACAACAGTGACAAGACATGACTGGTGATGATTTCTTCTGGTATCCCAGTGTTCTAACCGTGGAACTGGTAGTCCTACACACTACTGTGGTGGTCATGTGATGACGGAGATATTAAGCCGACATGTGCAGAGGCCTGACATTATAAGGATGACTCATTATACTATAATTGACAGGGGTACAATCAGCATCCAGCTCCAGCACAAGTGAGTATAAAAATTGCTTTCAAATTTCAAATTCAAGTAAAATCGATTACCTTTTTTAATATAAGAGAAAAAACAAAACAATATTCCTTTCAAAAATTTCTTTCAGATTCAAGTTTACTTGTGTATTTTGTATTTTCTAGAACAAAATTTCTAATTACTCTATCTCATGTATTTTGATAAAATAAAGCTACCAGTAAAGCCCTGGTGTAACAGACAATCTGTACTATGAATCTCTCTGTAAGAGTTTGAAATACAAGAAAATTAGTTCATTATTGTCTTCAACCTAAGCACTTTAAGATTTTTTTCTTGAAAGCTGAACTTCACATTTCCTTTGCCTCAAAGTAAAATGCAAAATTTATAAATGGACTTACGGGGCTATATGCACTGAAAAGACTTTAAAGGAAAGATTCAAAAGTCTCTTTAAGTTAGCAGTACCTTTTTAGCAGAGAAGCAAAAAACCCAATATGCAAAAATTTAAAGGCAAATTAAAGCTCTATCGGGACTCTTAAGGCTTTGCCACAATTTTCAAATTAAACCATGGGTACTTGCTACTTACAAAGGAAAGATCCAGGACTCACTTTCAAAATACTGAAAAACTCAGTAGAATATGAAATGCTACTCAAAAGTTGTGGCTAATTAAAAGCTAGAAATTAAGCTAAGCTAGAGCTAAAACAAATTTATCCTTCTATTATATTTCTGAAAATCAGAGCTGTACAAAAGAGAAACAAATTAAAATTGTTCTAATGGGCGGAAAACACCAAAAATAAAAGACAACAATATAAAAATTTGAAACCCCACTCAAAATTAAGTCTATTTGAGTTCTAGGAAAAAAATAATTCCTGAATTTTTATTTAAAAATCAGGGCTGTACAAAGAATATCAATTAACATTGGTTCTATGGCCAATATGAACACCAAAATTCAAAAAGTTAGAAAATCTGAAACCCCTTCAAACACACACCACACAAGTTTTTGCAAAATTTGATTTTATAGTTCCGAGGAGACATGAAAACAATGTGACCTACAGCGTGGACCAGTTTATGGCTTCCTGAATCCAATGCCGTATGAATTGTCCAAAATTCGGAGACTATTGCCTACTCGTAAAGTGATATTTGCCAAAATATAATTTCCCCCCTCCCCATGTCGCTCGTCGTCCCTAGAACGTGGGCTTCGCCGGTAAGAAAATGTATAGACGCTTATCTCATTTGCGGGTATGATCGATTTTTTTTCGAAAATTGCAAACAACAAAAAAATTAACCCCTCAAATTAACAAAATTTGAACTAAAAAAAATTACAGTAGTTTTGATGTATTGCTGGTTGAAATTAATGAAAATGTATACATGTTTCACACCAACAATGGGCCACGAGAAAAAGTGAATGAATAGTATGAAAAATAATTCCAATTTTGATTCAATTATTATTCTTACACTCTTTACTTCACTGATTCTACAATTAATATTCTTAATATATTAATGACAAGTAATCTCAGTTGATTTCGTCTGCCGACGACTTATTAATGAGTTTTCATCAGTCTTCATACAGAAACCAAATAACTCTTAGAGTGTTGTTTATGCCATCATTCATAAAAATATAATATTGTCCAGCTTAAGTATCAGAACTGTGGAGTGCAATCAACTACCGCCTAGAAAATAGTTATATAGGTGTGTTGGCACAGCCCAATGGAAGAAGATGGTTTTCAAAAGATAAATTTTAATAAGTATGTTCATTTCCTTTTGAAAAATGCTTTATCTTTGGCAATTTGGGTTGAGCAAAATTATATCGTCCGAATATACTGCGCCTTCGTTGTCGTAATCCCGGCAAATTGGGAGCTTCGTATGTTAGAATTTATATTTCATATATGAAAGCTTGAATCAAAAACGGGCAAAAGTGCAAGGCAAATGTTTAATTGATCAAAACATTTCTTTTTAAAAAAAATTCTTTAATGTTTATTTGAAGCTTATATATTTGGAGAGGTAGATGTACAATACAAATTATTAAATGTGGATTAGTTCAAGTAGAAATACAAATAAATATTCTGGTTAATTGCGTTACACGTGAGCTACTTAGGATAATTCTGACATTTCCAATTCGCTTCATCATCCATTCTTTTCATCTTCTTTAGGCTACCTTTCTATTCTGGTTCCCTTGTTCTTGTACATCATCAAAAATTGTGGTTTCCTGTGTCTAACCTGCTATAAAGAGAATGGCTTCTTCTGTATTCTTGCTGGAAGGCGGAACATAACGGTACTGCATCTGACTTCCCAGTAACCAATCCGTACAATACGTCCTTGTTACAATTATTATACAAAAATGTTATTGTAAAATTCTTCTTACTGACAAAATGCTTGTTCCTGACTTCAGCTGCTGTTTCTAAAAAGCTGCCTAATGCAGAATGCATACTCTATTGATTGTTCGGTCGATGAAGCCATATTTTATGTAGATTGCGCCACTCCACTTGAGTATCTAATAAGTTCTGCAGTTCTCTACAGAAGATCCAATTCGTTCCTTGCGTTTTATTGAGTCCCATTGAAATTAGTTGCAGAAATTAATTCCTGTAAAAACCTAATTTGTCGGACGTCAAAATTCACTCCGTATTCTTGAAACTCGTCTTGGATCGCAGAAGAATCTGCCACGAATGTTTCAATCATGCTTGTACCGAACCAGCGTTTAGGTATATCGACAACAGACGTTTCTTTCTTTAATCCTCTGTTGCCTTTGGTTATCATTACTACTTGCTTCTCCGCATAGATCTTGCTTGTCACCTTTTGATCCCCGATATTTGTAGGAAAGTGAAGAATGACTCATTTTTTCGCGTGCTGAAAGCTCTTATTGCCTTTAGCACTTATGCTCTTTTTGGAGATCTCGGACATTACTTTAACAGAAAATGCATCAGTTTTGCCAGATCTTAAACATTTGGGAGGCATATCAATGTGGACTCAGATTCTTTCCTTATCTCTTTGTGTTTTGCGTCTTTTGCCGCGTTCACTTGGCTCTCCGAATTCCATTCTCTCGACCGCTTTGCTTGTCGTACTGGTATTTTCACAGCACCGATAAGCCATTTTCATATTTTTACAATCTTCTTCCTTATTAAATGCAGCTATGCCCAAGTTGTTAACTCAGAACTTGAAAAACCGTAATTTACGTTTACTTCGTTCACAAATTTTCTGTCGGAAAAAGTATTTTTCAACAAAAATATTATCTTGATTAGTAATCTTGTCATCAATTAAATGTCCGAATACGGCTGGATACAGCTGTAGAGTTCTTCCTCTAGTTCATTCCTTAACGTTTTCTTTGGTATCTACAACAACAAAATCTTACCTATATTCCCTAAATTCATGGAATTTTCGTTTCTCATCGCCCGAACTTCTTATAAATTACCATAAAATAAAAATTGGTGGAAATATGACAGTTTTTTCTTTTTAATTGTATTCTACTTTAAAAGACAATTGTAATTGATAAATTTATGCTCGACACTTCCTGACAATTATAACTTATACACGTTTGATCAAAGTCAATTCAAAAATCAGGATGCATAATACGATTCACATAAAACTTCATTAAATACGTAAATATTAAACTTAAATGTGTTCGTTTTTAATTTAAAACACAGTATTATATTTGGAACTCTCTAAATCATAACGAATTGATGAACTTCACAAGTTTGAAAGCGCAATAAACTCACCCAAAGGAATAAAGAATCCCTTTGTTCGGAACTCTGATAGCAAATCTGCAGCGCCACGACTCACTTGCAAATTACACAACAATGATACTAGTCTGAAGGGACCTAACAGATTACTGTCGTATACGTAATATATACACCTTCTAGAAATGATGCCAATTTTCCTCGTTTTTCGAGGGAGGAGGGGGAGAGGGAGAGAGAGTTCGTGTTTAAGCCAGGCCTGCTAAACCAACATCTCAGTTTAAACCACACCCAACTTACTTAGCCCATACCCAACTTATTAGCCATAGGGCAACTGCATGAGTTGCTGGAGTATAAACAATCGTGCCAAAACTGCCCCCGCTTCCATAATTTAAGCACTGGGATTTCCCAGCCCGATGTCGAATTATGACTACATCACAGGTTAGGGTTATGGTACGGTTTTGGGGATGGGACACACAAACCTACATAGAAGTCAAAGCCTTGATGTGAGACAGGCCAATGGTCACATTTCCGCATTGAAAACCCACACAGTTGCACACAGAGTATGCCGTGAGGTTTCAATGACCGCCGCCAAGAAGCGAGTCGTCCAAATAATGATTCTCGGCCTATCCACACCAGCGTTGCGAGCTAACGCTATTGGATAACGCACCGTAAATGGTGAGAAAGAAATAGAGAAGAAACAAAGAAGATACCGGAAGGAATGAAAATACTCATTGGAAAATGTTTTAAGTATGGAAAACTAGGGAAAGTAACACATCACTCGCATATATTTGAGGCCTTCGCCACTGGTCGTTCTACAATAAATTTGTTGGGTACTTGACTGTTCTATACTCTCGTATATTGCAAGTGAGATTGTTTAAATGGGATACTATTGTATTACGTTCTCTTGAATTGGTGTTTTGTATTGCTTAACTTGTGCAGCTGCTATCCCAAGTGATCTCTGAAACTTCCAAAAACCAAAAACTTCAAAAAATGTCATTGCTGGCGAAGGTCGCTCTTGATCTCTTAAATTCATAACATCGAACAAATCCTCAAATATTTCGTGCTAAAAAAAATTACTGTGAATCATTTTACTTTCGCGCTACTGAGTAGTTATGTAATGCTGCGGAAACAACGGCAATTTTTTTAAAACCTCTCATTACCATGCCCAGGTGACGACCAAGTGGATAAATCCAGTTGGCCTAAATTTGAGGCTGGGAAACTTCTAATACGTGGTACCCAGAATACCGTTTTGTAGGTCCATTATGCTCCGAAAAATCGAAAGACTGCAAAACGTGTCTATCCGTTCCGAATGTGAACAACGTCAACCGTTAAAAAACGTCTCCAAAATGATTCTCCCTTACGATCTGGCTGATGTCACGGCCCCTGAATTCAAATTGCATATTTTAAATTGAGGAGGGAAGCTAAAACTTGAAACTTTTAATGGGTAATGTCTAGAAACCTGAACTTTTAGATGGGTAATGTCTAGAAAGAAAATGAAATTTAATGGTAATGCTCTAGAAACTGAAACTATTTAATGAGTGGTAATGTCTAGGGAAACTGAAACTTTTTAATGGACCAGTTTAAAACTGAAAACCTTTAATGGTAAGTCTAGAAACTAAACTTTTAATGGGTAATGTCTAAAACTAAACTTTTAGATGGGTAATGTCTAGAAATATTTCTGGTGTGAACTAATGAAACATAATTGATGACTTCCACTTGTTATAATAAACTCGTGTTTTCAAATATGTTATTTACTGTAAGGAAAGTAAAAATTACAAAAAAAGAAAAATTGATTTATTATGCAAGTGTTTAATGTTTATGGAAACCCTTTTAAATTTATTGCATACAAATTTTAAGGCATATTGTATTGAGTTAGTAAATGTTCATTTTAAATAATTGTGAGAAAATGTGTTTAAGTCAAAATAGTTGAATTTTTTTTCTCGTATTGTTTCAGTAGCTCATCGCCTTGCCCAAACTTGTTGGACCAACATCTTCCACCAAAGAGTCCATCTTCAAGCCTCAGTGATAAACTTGTACTTCGCTTTAACTACAAATATCGGTTGTTTCTGTACAAAAATATATTTTTATATGAATTAAACTGGTGCAACCTCATGCACATTAAGTATATTTTTTGTAATTTTTCTAGAAAAATTTAGATAAAAAAACAGTGCTAAAATTGGGATGTTATGTTGTTTTTTCTTCCCTTTTCATAATATTGATCTGAGATATCTGTCCTTGAATGCAATGTAAAAATTATTACTTGTAAACTTTTTGATTAAGAAAATAACAAATATACAAATTGTTACACGAGTTCAAGGACCAGAAGATGTCTAGTACAATGTTTTTAAAGTTACCATCTATTTCAGTAAGGAAAATTTTAGTCAGGTACTAGTGTAAATATGGTTTCTAATATTTTCTTTGTTTTAATTTATTTGTTTTGACCACTGCCAATTATGAAACTGTCATAAGGAATGTAGTTTTTAACTATGTCTGAAAAGTTTTTCCCATATGTTGTGCAGTTTGTAAGATATAGAATATTTATTTTAGTTTATCTAATGTTGAAATTATGAAATGCTTTGAAACTTGAATGAGCATTCTTACTCAATTGAATTTTCATTTTCTAGTGTCCACTCTGAGGGAAGTCAAAGTGATATAAAAAAAAAAAAAATTGAAGATTTTAACAAACCCACACGTTATTCTTATGAACTCTAAACGAGTTTGAAAATTTGAATTTCTGTTTTCTATAAAGGGGAGAATTCAAAGTACAAAATGTGGGCATTGTCCAATTGATGCACACTAATAATTTTTGAGAAAATAAATTAAAAAAAACACAAATTGTTGCAATTAATACCTACATTTTTTGTGTGGAATTGTACAATGTATGCAATCAAGATGAATTATCAAATTAGAAATTCAACGACGACTACCTACAACCCCCTTGGCAGCGCCCCACCTCAAGGGAAATCCTGCCCCTTCTCTCAAAAGTTTTCCATTTCTTACATTTTTTTTATCATTGTATCTGGATTTATTTATAATTTAAACATTTACTTATGTAAAAAATGTAAATGATTATGATAAACAAAACTAGTGGTTGCCTATATCGCATATTTTCTGGTATTTCTATTGTTCTGTAAATACTAAAGATGTATTGCAACTTAATCTATGTGGCCCGAACAGTCGCTTGCCTTTGCCAACTGAGGGGCTGGTTTGTTGAAGTTCCCATAGAACCTCATGTGAAGAGTTTGCATACCTTTACCGGTGGTCCAACCCTGGTGAATATTCAAACGTATACCATTCCCTAATTCCTTCCCAATTCTGGCCGCTGATTAGTGTACGCAGGCGGGCGCGGAATGCCGAACGCGGAGATGCTACTTGGCGGTCCTTTCTTGACAACTGACTGCGTTGACGGGACGGTATGACAATGATACTAATTAATGGAGGTTACTTCCCGCCTAGTATTAATGGAAGAAGACTCCGGAAGCGCAAAGCGCTCAACGGGCTTGGAGAAGCGTGGCGTCAATTTCAGACGTAACAAATTTGAAGGAGGGAAAAAAAAATCCTACACATATTTGAACAATACTCCTACACATTATCTCTGAAATCTCCCCTTGTCCAAATGAAGTATAGAGATTCTGGGAGAAGGATATAACTTAATTTTGTTTTAAAATTATAAAGTTTAATGAAATGGCTTATTATTGTAAGTTAAGTGCGTTAACTTTAACATAAGTTTTAAAGAGAAGTTGAATGGTTAGGGTTGTTACTGTCCTATACCTGTTTGCCAGGTAAGACTTGCCTATTGCCATGACTTATCAATGAGAACGTATTAGTACAAGTATGCAGAAATGTTTGTAGTGCTAAATTGCTTTTTCTGCATTTAAGATACTATTTTTTATTTGTTGCTAAGATCATGCATTGCAATACATCCTTTTCGTTGATCTGTGGACAATTCTAGCCATCTGATTCTAGCGCAAGACGTAGTTTAGAAGCAGAGTGCCGATTCGCTGACTCATCTTCTAACCAGTTGATTCATATTGCCAACCTAAACGTAAAGAAATATGAAACAAAATGATATGAGTTAAAAAGTCGACAACAATGATATTAAATCTTAATGAATTATTTATTTATGTCCCAGGGTACAACTCCTTTATATTCTTAATATCGTTGCCTAAAAATGTTCAGAGAAAGGCTCGCATGCCTTCACCAAGGAGGCCCGGGGGGATTCCCAGGCACTCAGAAAAATTCTTCTAACCCAAACGAGATCAGCTGCTCCAAGGCTAGTCCAATCCTTATAAAGTGCCCTTCACCCTACCCCTATCCTGAATTCCTTCCTATTCTGCCGCTGGTTGAGACCACGTTACGCGGAAGTGCTACCTGCGGTCCTCTTGACTGCGACGAGACCCGTGACATTATAATTCAGTAATGGGGATACTCCCAAAGCGCTTCAACGCTCCCCAAAGAGCTTAGAGGTCGCTTGCATCAATCTAAGACGCCAATATTTTTTAAGAAAAAAATGTCTTTAGGTTTTTTGTCTTACTCCAAAGATATTCGACCAAGAGCATGCGTCGCCATATCTCGTGACTTACTTCCAAAGTAAGTTTTCTCGCTTCGCTCCCACGGGAACCCAAGTCGCGAAGAGGCGTCGGCCTCGACCCTCGCGTTCACTGTAAACAACCTTGAGTCAATCCACCGGGCAATGAATACCAATATCAGTTTATAAAAAGCACTTTATGGTTAAAACCCTCATAACGTGCACTGCCGGTAAACAAATGAACATCGGCACAGCTATAACCCCAGTCTCCGCTAGAATTACCCGGAACTCCATATTCCATTTCCTTTCGATTGCCTTTGTTTCTTTCAGTCTTGCTGGGCACCCTTTTGTTGAGCAGTCTTTCGGAATCTGCCTTTCCCTATGCACTTTACCCATAATTTTTTTCAACGCCCTTGTATATCACCTTTTTATAGTCTATGCTTACAAGGATTCCAATTAATGTAATGTAACCCCACAGTTATCTCACGTGCTGTTGTGTACCACAATATTCTCTAGTCAAGGCTTGATAGTGCCCAAAAAACTTCGCCCCCAAAAACTCCTCTCTTCTATAGTATTAAACAGCTATATTTTTCAGTTGAAATGACCTTACCTTCCAAATTAGTGGGTTTATTTCTTTATTATTTGTTGGCCTGATTTTTAACTAAAATAATTGTTTAGCTCAGTACCATCATGTACGAAAATCACCCTTAAATAATTTATTTCTTTTAGAGTATAATAGTGGAACAGATAGCCGAGAGACCCACCCCCGAGCGTGCTTAAGGCGCCTGTTACCGAACTTTGCCACCGTTCGTGGCCAATCTCTCTCGTCTCGCGACGATACCTGCGTAATTATTGCGCTTGCTCGCTATTATTTTAATTTGCGCTAGTTAAACATAGATTTTCGCTACATAACAGCTGTATAGTTATGTGGGCGCTGGAAAGTTTAAATCAGATGGTCCAACTGACAGCCCGCGAGTGTCATTTTGTGGCCCGCGAACTTGTTATTAGCCAAACGGGAATTCCTTGCATCAAATTGGCAGAACATTTTGCCTAGCGCACTGCGTCCTGCCAAGGTCAAACACCCCCTTAATTGCAAAGATAGGTGAAGTTATAGATTAAGAATTTTTCTCATGAAACGTGCCAGATGATCTCCTTAAGTCATATACAGTTTTTACTGTTTTTTTATATTAAATAATCTAAATCTGACATTCAGCTATGTGATGTGCGTCAACGCCCAAGCGCTCGTGGACACTGTCTTAATATTTGCGTATCGAGTTGTGAACTGCCGCTCGCCCAGCTCTCGCAGAACTCTGCAGCAGCTGCGTGAGCTCCCAGCGGGGGCACAGTGAGGCTCCGCCCGTACAGTTAGGAGCAAAAGACGGACACGCAAGCGCTCCGCAGAGCAGTAAAGCTTCATCGCCGATTTGGTGATTCCGCAACGGGAGCGGCGAGAGAGCCTGAGGCGAGATTCCTGTGCGTCTCTGTGAGACCAGAGAGAAACGCTGCGGTGGAAAGTAACCAAATGAAGAGTTTTGCCAATCTCCACGAGTAAACGCCTATGTGGCTTATCGAAGCGGCGGGGCGGCAACCAGCGAGAAATCACCCCAATCAAACCAACGCGACACCCCAAGGCTCCCCGGTCAACCTTCCTCCGACATCCCGGTTTATGTGTGGTACGACCTGCAAAAAGCGAAGTCTTTGCTGACTCGCTCTCGAGCGGCATCCAACCCAACGACGCCGGAGCCAGCGAGCCCACGTGGACTTGCGGAGCGCCTACGGTGCCTCCTGGCAGTCACCGAATACATCAGGCCGTCGCGTGACGGACCGGAGAACTCCGGGAGTGCTCCCACCTCCAACCCAAAAAAATCTTGCGGGTCCTGAGGCATCACGTCGCCGCACTTGAGATGCCTGTTTGACAAAGGGGTTAATTTTCGCCTGCACTTTTCAATGCCTGCCTAGCAACAATATATATCCGCGGCCCGTGAAAACAGCGAAACATCGGCTTAATACCCAAGTGCGTAAGAGCCTTCCTGCCGAGTGTATTTATAACCCATTAGTCTACTCTCTCCTAGGAAAGACTCCGAACGCCTCATACTCGTGCGCTTGTCAGCAGAAATACGCGCGTCTGGGTCTCCTTCCGGACGAACAATTTGGTCAGGAACGGGTCATAGCTCGCGCAGCAGCTGACGCGCCTCTGCACCGGATCGGCTTCTTCTCGAGAGCGGAGAAGAAATCTGCCTACCGTCTTCCTGACATCGGTCCCGGCCTTCGACACCGTGTGCATGAGGGCACTCTTATGTCTCATTGCATCAAGGAAAAATCGACGCTACACCAGGTCTGATCGGTAGTTTTCTCACAGAGAGAACGTTCAGAGTGCCGAGTTAACGGCGTACAATCGTCCCTAAAGACGCGCCGAGCGGGGAGTTCCACGGGGAAGCGTGCTCTCCCCCACCACTCTTCGCTTTACGTCAATGATGCGTCCTGCTAGCAGAAAAGAGAGAACGGGAATTTCAGCCGGTTGCGTGCTCCTGATGTTAGCGGTCCCGACTTTGCGTATTACGCGAAATCGGCGAAACAGCAGGCAAGCCAGTGAGATACCTGAATGAATGCCTCGCCGCTTTCCCACCTGCTACACCAGAAACGCCTGACGCTAAACCTTGAAAAATGCAGTGCCGTTAACTTCCACCCGTCAAAGGCAGACCCGAGGAACGGTGTTGCTTCGGCGGCGCATCTTCCTTGTCCCATGCGCGAGGTACATTGCGTGACTCTAAATCGTGCCTCTATTGGCACGAGCACGGCCAAGGAACCTTCGCCCACAAAAATCTGCAGGACCCTCGCTTAGTCCCCGACCATCTCTTCGTTAGAAGTAAAAGAATCATCAACTTTGCTGAAGAAAGTATCTTTGCAAAGAAACAAGTATAACGATATTCAGATGTGTCAAATTGGTTTTGTAATAATAAATAAAGGCAAAATGGTTTCTATCCTGTTTGTTATTTCGAAAAGGCCAATCTTGGCAGCATTAAAAGCTAACTATCTGCAATTGACTGATGCTTAAATAACAAAATTTCTGGATCTCTCATTCAGAATGAAATATCCATATAACATAGTAGCAAGATTTAAATTGAAGGTCATTTATTATATACATTCATAAGGTATTTCAAATTCTGTCAAAGCCTTCATGTCTTTGCGAATGTACCAATTCTGCCAAAGAATTATGCAACTGCTATTGAAAAGATTACCCCAAAGCCAGATAATTCAGATACAGAATCATCGTATGAATAATAAAGCAAATTACCGTGTATCTTCTGCAATCCTCTCTTCATTAACTTGGAATCTTTATTGCCTTGTTATTTATTTACGATTTTTTTTGTTCAAACTGACTTATAGTTTTATACGATACACAAAGAGATACTTTATGAGAGGAAGGTAAAAGAACGTGCTCATTGCAAATCTCAAAGGTCCAGGATGTTTTCCACATTTGATCAGATTTTCAAGTGCCAATGTAATATTGTAGAATATTCATTTGCCTGGACTTGCAGTTATGTCCACACTGCGACTGATTTGCCCATGAGCCGTTTTAGGGTATTACATAGAACAATCTATTCTTCCGATGTATATCACACAAAGCTCCTGTTATCTTTGAGTTCTTTCTAGAATAGATAAATTACATGTACACAAAAAATTATGAAAAATTGTAAGGAAATTAATTATTTGATTTTTTAACAGGTCACAAAGTTAAAAGACCTGGTGGGATTCATTAGGGAAATTTTTTCTGTATCATCAAATTGCCAAAAATTTCTGTAAAAATCGTGAGCATAGATTGTTCAGCATTATTAACTTTCCTCTTTACAAACTTAATAATCAGTAACAAGGAAAATAAAAAAGAATTTACTTAAGAATCAAGTGGTAAGAGAAAAGTTTTACAAAAAACCTACACTCCCAATTGATTTTTAACTTTTCTGTACATACATTTTCCATGCCTTATTTCTAATACGCTCGGTATGCGCTATTTTCATATATTTAACAAAATGTTTGAGCTTCTATTCTTACAGAAGGTGGTGTATTACAATAACCATCTTATTGAGAGCAACATGAACAGAATTTTAGATCAATATACTTGTTTTTGTTGGTCAGCTCATATCAAATGCAATTTTCAAATAAATTTGTTCCCAGCAAAAGTTGCATTCTGTAGCCCTAACTTACTATGCAGAGTCCTGCTAAATTACCATAAAAATCTCATTTTCTAGGCTTCTATTCGAGATTTTGAGAAAAGCGGATGCTGAGAACAAACTACTGTGAAATCTACCCATAGGCTAAAAACAGAATATCACATCAACCTGTTTTTCATCTACTAAAGGGTAAAAATCGTATGCCTCTCTGTTATCCCTATTTTCCAAGTAGCTATCATTATATACACCACAACAACATAACTAGACCATAACCTTTGGATTGTAGAAAATGTGACCTTGCTCATTAACACATGTTATGCTCCAAATAAATTTTGAGGTACAAGAGTGCTCTTAATATAAAATGGTGGAGAAAATCATCCACTATAACATAATGCACGAGAAATATTGAATAAAAATTTCACGTAATAATACAGCCCCTCTGCGCTTCTAGTATTTTCATGTTTTTGTACAAGCATAAAATGAAGTGATATCTTTACCCCCAGTGGAATAAGCTGATAAGTCATGAATGCTTAAATTGTTAAGGAGGCCAAAGAAAACAAAACACTTTCACCTCGATTACCTGTAGTCAGTGAGTAATGAGTTAAAATGAAACCTTCACATAAAATAGTTTAGCCTAAATGTTTTGAATTTACTCATTGAAAAAACTTTTCTTGCTCTTCCCTGAAATTTAAGCTTTCATTGACTTAGCAGCCTTTATCACGTGTCAAAGAATTTGTATCAAATTTTAAGATGCAAATGAAATCTAGAGAAAAATATGAATACTTACAAAATTATAATAGTTACTCATTAAAAAAAACGTTTATGATGGCTTGATTAATGTAATTTTCCATCTAGGTGATGATCATCGTTTTGGACAATTCCTATCTTGGCCGGCATTGGGAAAATATAATCACATTGTATTGAATGAAAGTATCAACACCAAGCACTCTAATTTTCTTATTAACATCTAGCCAAAAATTGCTAGTCACTTCATTTGACCTTACATATTAGCAATAGTGCAAATCATGAAACAAATCTCAATTGTATGTTTACGTTCCATAAAGAATTTCACTTTTATGTTGTTTCACCGAACTCAATACGTGTATAAGAGAAAGATGTCAATTGATGAGGGAAATGTCAAATAAACTAAATCTCTTAAGAATGTAGGGCTTTCAGTGCCTTAGTAATCCAATAGCTGATGCCGTTTTGCTTGGATTGTATCTATTCAATCTAGATTCCAATATTTGTTTTCTTAATTACAGTGACGGCAAGTTGATCAGCTGAAACAGCAATACATGATAACCACATCATATGAATTCTTGCTGAAGACAGTCTGATTCTGTGAAAAATTCTACTTGCTTCGCATGTTACTTTATTTATTGGATACCTAATTGCCATGCAGAGAATAATTAGATCCAGTACAGGATCTAAATATAAAAGAGATTTCTCTTGTGCCCTTAAGACTAATAAACTCCAGTGAGTACCACAGAATTTCTAATGCATCACAATCATTTACAGGTAAAAACACAAAATCTCTTGATGAAAAATCAGAGATCTAAAAGCAAACAATTCTCTCCAATACCTCATTTTTAAACACTGAGCTGACTTGTGGACTAATAAATAGAGTTTATCACAACCCTGAAACGTGACATTTCTAGATATTCAAAATAAAAACCCTATTAATGTCATTCAAGCAATAAGACCAGTGAGGAGATCAACATCTGACTTGTGAAGAGTAACGAATCATGGAAACTAATCACATCATTTCCGCTTGAAACCACTCTTGACACGTAAGTGTTTATTGTTCCTGTCCTGTAAGAAGAAAAAAAACAATGCCCAATCAAAAAACAAATTCACTAAATGATTGAGTAATAGTTATTTCATTACTTGTTGCCTTTCATATTAACAAGCAAGATGTAATTCATTTGAAGTTCATTCAGCAAGAACATCAAAAATTGTTAATTTTTAAAGACCATAATTAACTTTGCAATAATAACATGAGAAACAATAGCATTTCGCAGTATTAAACTATTAAATACAGTTATCTTACAAAAAAGGTAGTAATCATCTATAGAAACTTCCATAATAATTAAATTAGCTTGTAACAATTAGAATTGATTACATAAATCTGTAGCACCTAAAAAGAATCTCATTTAAATGATTGTTTAAATTAATGTAGTTCATTAAGATCTGATTTACGAGTTTGTAATTAAGTCAATTATACAAAGTATATCAATACTGAATGTCCGTAATAACAATTGTTCGTACCGGTCCTGCAACTCAATTTGTTTACCATTGACACACTAAACAACCCCCCGCCCTAACTATCAATCGTATGCAGAAGCTTACCATTAAACGAGGCAAAACGAACGAAGTGCCCAGCTTTACGGAATACTTCAAGAGTACACCAGAGCTTCCACTGAGTATTTCTCAGCGCCGTCCATAAGCTTTCAACTTCGTTTAATTCGAGGAAAACCATGTTCAAGTGGATTTTACAGTAAACTAAGAAAAAAAACATCTGAAATGCCACAAAAAAATCCAAGACAGAATTTGAGAAATTAAATCCGAGAAATCATGCTCTTATCTAATATTCGTTTGGTTTTAAAAATCAGCTGGTTTGAGTTTGTCCCAAAAATGTTCATGTTCTGTCCATCCCCCTCCCCGCTTGCACCAATTCGATGCAATTGTGCTGGCCGCCAGTCCGAGCTAGTTCAAAACTAGCAACCAGTTGTTCCTGTGAGCAATGAACCATACGCTATCAATATGTATGTTGATATGCATTCAAGGACCAGTGTGCATATATTTTCCAGTTATTTTGGTGATGAGAAAACAGACTCCCCCAACTGTGGTCTCGTTATTGTTGTTTCGTATGAAGTTGTGGTTGTATATATGAATGGGTATTAGTAGGAAGAAATGTCAAAATTTGGGGTGATTCGTGTGAATGGAAGGTTGTAATCAGTATGCAGGTTAATTGCAAACTTGTGTTGTTTTGTGAAATTTTTCACAAGCTAACGTTTCTTTTCATTCCGCAATAGCAAACTCGAAATTTCTACCTCGATATCTACTAGAGTCCGTAATTTCGCCTTTAGATTGTGCTGCGTACTCACCATCCGATATGATATATCCAACAATACGGTACCCTCGTTGTGTCCCAAGAATTAGTTTCGAAATTCATTCCTCCATATCGCAGTGCGTTATAACGTATTATCAAATGTGACTTGAATATGTTTGGGAAGAAATCTTACTTTGTAAGCCACGAGTGACTAGAGTGCATACTACTTATTATCGTTCTTAATATTGTAGAATTATGATTCATGTTTGAATATTGACGGTAGGATTATTAAGGGTGCCTTAAAGAAATTCCTGTGTTGTCCAAACAGACATGGACGGTTGGGCAGCTGAATATTGACAAGCCCTTAACATTAGGGCAACAATGCCATCGGCCTCCACTTTAGACATACTGGCAGTAGTAGTAATTATTATCATGTTATCTTATGACACTTGTTTTATGAGTTGCCTGTTTGGACTAAAAAGTATTGGACACAAGGAAATTAATTATAGAAATAATGCCTGTGATAGTTGATTTAAAGACCGAGAAAGATCTCAGCAATGAAAACATTGTCATAGAAGTGCAATTCTTGTTCTTAATAGTGGGTGTATGCCAGAACAGTGTTGTGCTTCAGTGAAACAACCATGCAGAACCAACTGACTTTTCTCTTCCTTGTTCTGCTCTTTACCTACTTGACACTTTCACTTGGATACGGCTTTATCTATTTTATTGTTGATATTATATTATTATTTTATTATGAAAATGTGAACTAATATGTATATGGACATATTATGATATATAAAATAAAGTAAATGAATAATTAATTATAGTGCATTCAAAAATATAATTTCTCCAGACTTGCTGGAAACAAAAGAGTTTTAATCAGGATCAACATTCATACCATTATAAAGTTTCCAAAGTATTCTCCACAACGTTAATTATAATACAAATTTGTTTTGTGTAGGAACATAAAAAATTTCTGATTGGTCAAAACAAAGATTTCATGTTAGTACTCATTGATTTCCGTTAATAGTTGCATACAATCAACTTTCGTTGTCTAAAATTTTAGCCCTTTTTACAACAATACATCATTCCAGACAGCTATTAGACTTTTGGAAACTATAGGGTACCAACGATTCTTTGTATTATCTCATAGTCATGAGTTAATTCTAGGTATGGATCAGCAGTTTTCCATTTGCCATTTAAAATAAAAAAGAGTGTTGCGCGATATAGTTTCTTAATACATCTAATTTAGAGGGTGACCAAACTGAAGAGCAGTTAGAGTCAAATATTGGTCTCACCAAGGTAAAATTAATATTTTAAAAAGTTTTTGATCTCTTAAAAATGAGTGGATGTGCATCTAAACAAAACCGAGTTTACTATTTGCCTGTAATTGATGTATCATTTGTTGTCCCCTTTGAGTTTTTGTCAAATACAACTCCAAGTTCCTCATCTAGTCATCTTTTCCAAAAACCAATTATTTCAAATAATAAGAAATGCCACATATTTCTCTATTTTGTTGAATGACATTGTTTTACATTTATTAATATTCGAAAATAAATTATTATTTTTACTTCCAAATTCATGGAGATTTAAATGTAGTTTGCAAAGCAAGTTATCAATTTGATGCACAACATCACTATATAATTTTAAATCATCCACAAATAGGGGAATTACAAGATAGTACATTTTTTTATCATTTAATGAACAAAACAAACAATACAGGACACAGATACACCCTTGGAAAAACACAACTAACAAAAAATGTGTCCCGAGCTGTAACCTTTATAATTAACTTTTGAGTTCTTTGAGATAAATAAGCCCTAATCCATTTGAAAAAGGCTCAATGTATTCCCCGAAATTAACACAATTTATTTGATAAAATGTTCTGTGATTGACAGTATCAAAAGTCTTAGAAAATCAGTATAGATAAATCAACACGTTGAAGCCATGTTTCCAATTTTCCCTTAAAGTACATATTTTTGCTGCTACAATAAATTAGTTTATTGTAGATCTTTTTTTCCCCTAAAATCATGTTGTGTTTTTTGAATTTACAATAAATAGGACATCATATTTTAGTGAATTATTATTTCGAAGATTTTGGGTTATGAGTACTCAATAGGAAATAGACCTTTAATTTTCTTGTCAGAATGTTCCAAAAATTGAAGGTTGCAGTTATTGAAACTACATTTCCAAACTGAAGAATTGAACGTCTTGAAGGACTTTTAGAAAACAACTTATGAAAAGATGCACTGATAAGAATAATTCACACATTCTTTAAAAATAAGAGATATACCATCTGCGACAGTAATAGTTACCTAATTTCCAAATTCATCAAAAATTTCAGTTTGTCAGATCGCAAGATATTAACAAATGATTTCGATCCATGGAAACATCCACAAATTTACAATCCAAGGTTCCATTGAGTTTGGTAAACCATGTGATGCAATCGTTCGCCAAAATTTTGTAAGAACTTTGCATTATATGAACTGCCTACATTTGCACCCCTAGTATTGTAGAGCACTGATCAGTCCCATAAATGCTCCTTAGTAAGCGGGTATTCAAACCTGGAGTTGATTTTATATTCAGCCACTCATAACATCTTTAGTTGTGAATTAGAAGAAACAATAATAATAAGTTATATCTAAGAATACTAAAAACAGGCAAGTTAAGGTATTCCCTTAGCATTACATGCTTTTCAATGACATATAAAATATACATATTATTAATTTATCCATATCAGTATAATTACATAATTTTCCACCTTATACAGTGATTAATAAAGTCCATTCTTTAATTATGTGTAGAATTTGAAATTAGGCAACTTGTGATATATCCTATGGTGTTTGTCACTGTTACCAAGGAGGGTCTTCTACAGCACTTTAGTCATTGAGGGAGTAGTCATCCTTTAGAAAATCTCCATTTAGTTTAACTTTGAAATTTGTTAATTATCAAATGTTCTTGAAATGTCTATAAGTTTATTACGGATGTGGATTGACCAAAGTATTATGCCCCCTGTATGGCAGAATACATTGTTACAATTTATCCCTTGGATAAAAAGGATGTGATTCTTAAGACATTTTTAACCTGAAATCCAGACCTATGTTTTAGATTTTTTCTATCAGGATGGTTCTTTGATTTATTTGTTTTTAAATTTTGAATGTGTACTTACATTAATGACATTATTAGAAGTGGAATGTTCTAGTAAGTTCCTTTTTAATTTCTATATACCATGACAATGACAATAATAACATTAACCTTTTGTCTCCAACATAAGAAGAGATAGAAGAAAACCATTTACAGCATCTGTAGTCTATTCCAAAATACGTGAAAAATGTGGGAAACAATACAAAATTCAACCCTTTGTGTCTTTTAAGTGTGTGTGTGTATCAATCAGAACCGTGCTTATATTCCGACATAAATTAGCCTGCAAATTAGAGATGAGTCTTTCCTTGGTCTCTGTATCTGTATTGAAATCTTTCATGTTCAGTTATAAACCCCAGAGTTATTTGGAAGAATCAATATGCCGAATGAAACTTATTACACTCGTAAATCTTGGTGAGCATTCGATATCTTTTACAAATGTTTTAATAGTCAGGAGATCTGGATTTTTCCTAAGTATTTTCTGTTGTATTTGAAGCATAGCCAAGGCATTTCTTTCTCTCCTTCCTTCTTCCTTCCTCTTTCCTCCTTCTTTCCTCCTTCTTTCCTCCTTCTTTCCTTCCTTCTTTCCTTCTTCTTCCTTCCTTCTTTCCTGCCTTCTTTCCTTCCCTTTCTTTCCTTCCTCTTTCCTTCCTTCTTTCCTTCCTTCTTTCCCCTTCTTCTTCCTTCCTCCTTCTTTCTTCTCCTTCTTTCCGTCCTCCTTCCTTCCTTCCTTACGTCCTTCCTCTTTCCTTCCTTCCTTCCTTTCCTTCCTTCCTTCTTTCCTCCTTTCCTTCCTTCCTTCCTTCTTTCTTCCTTCCTTCCTTCCTTCCTTCTTTCTTTCCTCCTTCTTTCCTTCCTTCCTTCTTTCTTTCCGTTCCTTCGCTTGCCTCCTTCTTCTTCTTGACAGACATTCTTGAAATTAAAATTTCTCTTAGATTCTCTATGGTGGCCAACAAATTAGTCCTAAGTTAATGTGAAGGATCACACCATTGGAATCTTAAAGCAATTTCGTATAATTTCTTTCTCTATCTTCGAATTTTTTCGCCAAGTTCTTTAACATAATGTTCTCCCGGGCTGGCCCATTCTCAAAAAAGAAACGAGAATATGGTATAACCTAGCTGCATCTCAAGATCAAGCAACGATTTTTAAATCCCCAAATATGTAACTTGTGTTTACGACTCTGAATTGTAAGGCATATGCTCCATCGATCATAAATCAAAACTTTTTCATTGTGGCATAGTGAAATGCTGAGTGTATTGCTTGACAACAACTACAGAAAAAAACCTGGCGAATTTCATTTTTATGGAAACAGGGAATTCTTCCGTCTGCTGGTCGTCGGTTCCGTCCGTCTGTGTGTTCGGTGGTCCGTCCGTCGTGTGTCGGTCTGTCCGTCCGTCTGTGTGCGGTCGTCCGTCCCGTCTGTGTGTCGTCGCGTCCGTCGTCTTGTCTGTGCGTCGTCGTCCGTCTGTCTGTGTTGTCGGCGGTCCTCCGTCTGTCTGTGTGTCGTTCCTCCGTCTGTCTGTTGTGTCGGTCGTCCGTCCTCTGTCTGTTGGTTCGGTCGTCCCCGTCCGTCTGTCTGTGTGTCGCGTCGTCCGTCCGTCTGTTCGGGTCGGCGTCCGTCCGTCTGTCTGTGGTCGGTCGGTCCGTCCGTCTGTCTGTGTGTCGGTCCCGGTCCGTCGTCTGTCTGTGTGTCGGTCGTCCGTCCGTCTGTCTGGGTCGGTCAGGTCCGCCGTCTGCTGTGTGTCGGTCGGTCCGTCCATCCGTCTGATGTGAGTCGTCGCGTCGTCCGTCAGTCTGACTGGTGTCGCCGGGTTCGCTCCCAGTCTGACTGTGTGGCGGTCGGTCCTCCCTCAGTCTGACTGTGGTCGGTCGGTCCGTCCGTCTGTCTGTGTGTCGGTCGTCCGTCCGTTCTGTCTGTGTTCGGTCCGTCCGTCCTGTCTGTGTGTCGTCGGTCTCCGTCCGGCTTCTTGTGTCGTCGGTCCGTCCGTCTGTCTGTGTGCGGTCGTCCGTCCGTCTCTCTGTGTGTACGGTCGCCGTTCCGTCTGTCTGTGGGTCGGTCGTCCGTCCCGTCTGTCTGTCTGTGTGCGGTCCGTCCGTCTGTCTGAGTGTCGGTCGTCCCGTCGTCTGTGTGTTCGGTCGTCCTCCATCCGTCTGTCTGTGTGTCGGTCCGTCCGTCCATCCGTCTGTCTGTGTGTCAGTTGCGTCCGCCATCCGTCTGACTGTGTTCGTCGCTTCGTCCGTCAGTCTGACTGTGTCGGTCGTTTCGTCCCGTCAGTCTGACTGGTGTGGCGGTCGGTCCGTCCGTCAGTCTGACGTGTGTGGCGGTCGTCCCGTCCTCCGTCAGGACTGTGGCGGTCGGTCCGCCGTCCAGTCTGACTGTTGGCGGTCGCCCGTCCACGTCCCAGTCTTGACTGTGTGCCCCGGTCCCCGTCCGTCCGTCAGCTGACTGTTGCGGTCGTCCGCTCCGTCAGTCTGACTGTGTGGCGGCTCGGTCCGTCCGTCAGTTGACTTGTGTGGCGTCGGTCCGTCCGTCAGTTCTGACTGTTGGCGTATCGGTCCGTCCGTCAGTCTGACTGGTGTGGCGCGTCGTCCGTCCGTCAGTCTGACGCTAGTGCGTCGCTCTGTCCGTTCCAGGCTACTGTGTGGCGGTCGGTCCGCCGTCAGAACTGACGTGTGGCGGTCGGTCCGTCCGCCGTCCAGCGACGGGTGCCGGTCGGTCCGTCCTTCCGTTCAGTCTGACTGTGTAGTCGGTTTATCTGTCCGTCCGCCGGTCAGCTCTGACTGTGTGCGTCCGTCCGTCCGTTCCCGGCCGACTGTGTCCGTGTGGCGGTCCGTCCGTCCGTCTGACTTGTGTGTCGGTCCGTCCGTCCGTCGGTCGGTCTTTTATATAACGCAAAAGTTTAGTGCATATTTCAGCAGATTGAGTTTTGTGAATAATTTCTTTTGAGTGTATTTTCCTTTCTGCGGCATCTTGCTTTAGTGGAGGTAACATTTGGTTCAGGGATTTTTTATTAATTGCCAGTAAGCATTTCTTTTTTAAATTGATTACAGTCAATAGAGTATTTTATTATGACATAAATAAAGTAATCATTGTATGCAAATAGCTGCAGTTTGAGGTTTTGTAAATAATTTACTTGGAGCGTGTGTATTTAATTGTGATGTTCTGCGTTACTGCAATGTAAGCGTTCATTTCATGGGATTTTAATTTAATATTATTGTACAATTAATGAAATTTTTTGTGCATAGTTCTGCAGATAGCGTTTTGTGAATAATTTTATTTTTATTTTGTGCACCACTTCGGTGTTGCATTAAGGATGCAACTTGCATTAAGGAAATTATCGAGGCGTTCTGTGCAAGTGGTTTTGTGGTAATGATTGCGTAATACGAATTATAACTGCTATCGAGCAATAGCGTATGTTAATATTTTATTAATAAAGCAAAATTTTATTGCAATTTTCAGCAGGTTAAGATTTTATGAAACATTTCTGATGGACGGATATATCTCGTTGGAAACATATTGTCATTTTCGGTCGCCATATTGGATCAGCCATGTTGTTTGGAGTAATTTTGATACCAGATTTTGAAATTAGCGATCTTGAAATCCCCTAGGTATAACTTTCTAATTGAATTCGATGCCATTTGAGGTTTTGGCCTCGTTTTCACCATCTGGTCACCGTGCGACGGTCAGGTGGAGGCCTTCCTTCACCTTCCCTGTGGGCCACGTCCCTGTGTGCAACAGGGATACGTTTTATCTCCTCTTATCTTTGTTTTATTAACATCATTTGTTTCATGTTTTCAAGCCCAGTAAATTACTGAATACTGAATGAAAACTAATGCATGTAACTACCGAGTTTGTTTTGATGAATATAAAAATATATTTTTCTATCCATTTTCATTTTCATGCTCAACAATGCTGATTGGCAACTATGTGTATCCCACACGATGTCATTGTCCGTGACGACGTCAAACGTCCGTCACGACATCAGTCACAACGTCAAACAGCTTACTGTCATTTTTGCTTGTTGTAATGCCGCACTGATAAAAGGCGATTGACTGCTGCCTTTTCTTTCGCGTTAATATAAACTCATAGTTTTATTTACAGCTAAAATACGCATGTGCATCGTCGGTTTATGTTAAACGTTAATACAATGACAGTAAGCTGTTTTCATTTGAATTAAAAAATATGTATGAAATTTTCACTTCATTTGTTTATGAATATTTCAAATGTTTTTTGCCATTAATAATGACGCGAGAAAGTACGTGCTGTTGTAGCACCTAGTTTTTGTGTAACAGCATTATAAATGTATAAAAGAATAAAAACTTAATTTTGCGTAACAATGTTCTTGTGGCCTCTCGGATGCTTGACATCTGTGCGAGAAAAGCTCGCCAGCTGTTCCGTTTACGGCCACCTTCCCACGATTCTCTCGCTGCAATTGGCTGAATGTCACAGCCGTAAAATGCTAATTCGTTATCATTTGTGCCATAAAATATCTGATTATGAACGTTTTCTTGCAACAGAAGTTTATAATGCTGGTACATAAAATAGTCTTAAACGGTACAAAAAAAGGATGCTAAGTAATTGAATCACCCCTAAATGGGGATATCTGGTATAGGGATGGCTCATTTAACAGGATTTGGCATTGGATATCTGAAACGTTTTCTTGCAACCTTTGTACTCTACTTTAGTATGTGACGTCCCTAATCTCCACAATACGCTATGACATTCCTATGTTATATAGTTTGATTTTGCAGACATTCGCAGCTTAGTCCGGGAAGAAAGCTCCGAAACATATTTGTTGATTTTTTTTCTCTCTCCGATGTCTGCTTTGGGCTCTAGGGTTGGCAAGTGCAGAATTGTATTGTTTTCTTTGCGCGATGTCGAGTGAAAGTTGAGAGTAGAGCTTGTGAGAGCGTGAAGTGCAACTTGTGTTGACGAAACCCTTCACGGATGAGGCAGTTGATCTTTTGGAATTAAAAAAAAAAACCCTACCCGCCGCATTTTAGCTTTGGAGGGTTATCTTTATCCTTCAGGTACTTTATTTACTCTGACTATTCCACTCGTGAAATTAAAACCAATAGTGTTTAACTATACATACAAAATGCCTGGTTTAACTATACATACAAAATCAGAGCGGTGTAACTCAAAAGGTTTACCGCTTCTTCGGTACGATTTTTCTTACTGCTTCTCCCTTCTGGCCAATCATAAACGGTGACTCATCTATCTTAGGTGGCGGTATACTACATCGATAGCCGTGTCGCATGTGAATTTTTACCATGGCGTCAATTTTTGGGGCATTTTTGAACTGGTGGACATAATTTCACTCGTGAAATAGTCATATTAAATAATAATAATAATAATAATAATAATAATAATAATAATAATAATAATAATATTATTATTTATTTGGCTACAATTGGTTGATTGCCAGGTGGTAGCCACAACCCTACAGTTTTACAATATATAACATTTATAATACAAAAAAAAAAGATTACCATATAAAAACAATTTACAATTACCACTTCTTTCGAGCATATACACTTTGTAAATATAAAAACATACACAGACTGATACATCTATGCACTATATACACACCCATACACACACACACACAACACACACACACAAATACACATATATATACTATTTAATATTATTATATAATATATATATTATATATTATAAATTATAGTATATATGCAATTGCATACATACACAATTTCTATAAATGATTGCTCACTCCACGTTTCCACATAACACGACACAAAACCACACACACACACACACTGCTC